ATGGAGGCAGTGACAGATTTTATTTTCTTGGGCTCCATGATCACCGCAGATGGAGACAGCAGCCACGAAATTAAAAGATGCCTGCTTCTTGGGAGGAATGTGATGACAAACCTTGATAGCATCTTAAAAAGCAGAGACATCACCTTGCCAACAAAAGTCCGAATAGTCAAAGCTATGTTTTTTCCTGTCGTGATGTAAGGAGGTGAGAGCTGGACCATAAAGAAAGCAGACCGCCGAAGAATTGATGCCTTTGAATTGTGGTGCTGGAGGAGGCTCTTTAGAGTCCCCTGGACTGCAAGGAGAACAAACTTATCAATTCTAAAGGAAATCAACCCTGAGTGCTCACTGGAAGGACAGATCCTGAGTGCTAGTGGAATTGAATGACAGATACGTCCTTTTAACCAACCGTGTTTGTCAGTCTGTGGAGCCTGAGCAGTCATGGGATAAGAGGAAAAGTGGCTTTAAAACTGGTTAAGGAGCTCGAAGCAAGGTGTATGAATAACTGATCAGTTGTCGTAATGGAGGGATGGGAACAATGGGGATCTGGACTGGGATCCATGCTTCATTAATGAACTAGAGTTGGTGAAAGTTAATGAGATGGCCAAGTTTACTGAAGACATTAAACTATTTATGATGGTTAAAATAAAAACATCTCTGGAGGGTTTCTTCAAACTGGAAACATTAGCATTCATTAATGCACTTCAGTATAAGCAAGTACCTAGTGTGGCATAGTGGACAGAGTGACAGACCAGGACTCCAGAGATCTGATGTAAATCCCTGCTTGGTAATGGCAACTCACTGGAGAGGGCTTGGGACTGGTAAAACCATTCCTTAAAATATCCTCCAGTATCAAAGCAAAGAGTTGTGCAGCACCTCTAGGCTGGGAGGAATGTGGGGTTAGCAAAACAAAACAAAATGCTAACATTGTACTTTCCTTTAAAAAATCTATCATGTGACCACACTTTCAATACTCCATGCAGTTCTAGTCACCACACCTGAAACAGATCATTGTAGAGAGGGAAGAGGTGCCAAAAAGTTCCACTTGAGTGTATTCCTGGATTCATCCCCAAGCTTGGATGCCCAGGTCTCAGTGGTGGCCAGGAGTGCATTTGCACAGTTAAATCTGGTACGTCAGCTGTGCCTGTTCATTGAGATGTCTCATTTGGCTACAGTGACACATGCCTTAGTTACATCCTGTTTGGATTACTGTAACACGCTCTATGTGGGGCTGCCTTTGAAGATGGTTCGGAAACTTCAGTTGGTGCAAAACTCTGCAGCCAGACTATGGACTGGAACCAGCTACAAGGAGCATATAACGCACCTGTTACAAGGACTGCACTACTAGTCTGTTTCTGGGGCCAATTCAAAGTGCTGGTCATTACCTATAAAGCCCTATACAGCTTGGGTCCAGGCTAGCTGAAGGACTGTATCTCCCTATATGTGCCTTCTCGACAATTAAGATAAACAGAGGAGGCCCTCCTCTCGGTCCCATTGCCAGCACAAGCATGGCTGATGGGGACACGGGAGACGGCCTTCGCTGTGGCAGCTCCCAGGCTATGGAATGCTCTCCCTTGGGAGATCAGGATGGCCCCTTCCCTGCTATCCTTTCGAAAAAAGCTAAAGACCCATCTCTTCAGGCAGGCTTTTAACACCTATAACTGAATCCCTGAACCCCATTTTAGCAGATTTAAATCTTTTTTAATGTTTTCATGTTTTAATATTTTAATTGTAATTTACGCCATATATTTAATTTATCTTTTAATATTTAACTTACTGGGTTTTTAAATTGTGTGAATTTTAATGTTGTGAGCCACTTTGGGTCCCTTGTTGGGAGAAATGTGGCATTATCTTCATTATAATTGAGAGGCTGCAGTATTTCCCTGTGTGGAAAGCTTTCAACATTAGGGCTGTTTGCTTTAGAAAGATGGCAAGGAAGGAAAGACAGGAGAGAGGTATGCAGAGTTCTGCACAATGTGTTGAAAACTGGATGGAAGAAGCATTTGTCTTTCACATCATATTAGTATCTCATCAGACTACTTCATAATACCTTATAATAGAACCAAGGTTGACTGCCAAGAGATTTCCATAAGCAAACTGATTGTCCACTGTGTGAAAAGAATGCAGGACAAGATAACCTTGAGTCTGATCCAGCTGGCCTCTTCTTACATTCTTTCTGCTGTCAAACGTTTCCTCAACATTTTCCATATTAAATGACATTTCCACCCACATTTGTCACAGAACAGTACACATTGTTGTTGATTTGCTTATTTGTGTGATTCATGTAGTGAGCTCAGTGTTTTAAATGCATTTCTCAGGTTCTGACACTGAAATCGAAAAACCTTGTTGGGATCACCTTGACAAACTGTGGCATAACAGACCTGATGCTGAAAGACTGCCCTAAAATGATGTTCATTCATGGTATGTACATTTTGTTTGCAGGAGCCTGGGAAATTAGTTGCATTGTGTTTTCACAAGCTATAGCACATTCCTCATGTCAATTAGATGGTTTCTTGCTGATATCTTTGAATATAATTTATTGAAGACCTGAATGCTTCAGTAGTGACTGCTGTTCAGGTGCCACGTTTTACCTCCATTTCTAGATGGAGGTACAGCTGTTACAAGAAGGAGTTGGAAGTCACTTTTGAGGTGTGCTTGTTCCACTGACCTCCCAAAAAGAGATTCTATTATTATTTGCCAGCTGCATTCCTCATCCTCATGAGTAGAGGTGCTGTTTCTGCTGTAGCTAGACATGTAAGGTGTAGTGCAAATGAGGAGTGGTGGGAATGAAGTAGATAAACAGTAACAAAAACTTAATGGCATGATAAAATCAAAAAGTTAGTCAAACTTTCCACTTTTTAAAGGCATGTTTCCAACTTTGTAATTCTGTCCTATGAAAGCAAGGGTATGTAAATTAAGTCAGTAGATCTTGTTCTGAAGAGTTGTGTACATGCTGATATTGACTGGTTGTCCAACAACACAGCCTTTACAGGATTGTACTGCAGGCAGCATTTTGTAATAGGGTAGGTTCATTTTTCATTATGTGCATGGCTTAAACCTAAATCCGCACACATTATCTTTATTTCTTGTTGAGTTATGATTTTGGTTTCCTGTAATTTATAGCCACAAGATGCCGTGTCCTTAAACACTTAAAAGTAGAGAATGCACCTATTGTCAATCGATTTGACTATGCTCAATGCAAGAAATTTAATATGGACCAGGTACTAGATCAAATACTGCGGATGCCGCCAGAGAGAAATCGAATAATTTACCTTCGGCCAATGCAGCAGGTATGCAAATAGCCTTCATTTAAGTAAAATGAAAATGCTTGCATTTTTCTGTGCTTTGCCTTATAGATCTTTTTAACATGGAAGCTTCAAGTATGACTTTAAGGTCAGTTCTTGTCTCTAACTTCACATGCTCTTCATGCTTTATACTTTTCACAATAGTCTTGGAATATGTCTCACACCAAGTTTGGGATCTTGTTCAGCACTAGAGGGTGGACAGCTCATATGGCATTGCAACACAGGGTCTCCCTGCCTGCCTTTCCGTAAGTGGAAATGTAAGCAATGTGAGTTTTTGCTCTGCAGATGGCAGTTCTGCATAACTCCTTGTGAAAGTGAGAAAAAAGTTTAATTGCTTGGGCAGTCATCATAGTGCAAGCAAAATGACATGACAGCGTCCTGCCTGAGTATCCATGAAATTAAGCAACTAAAACAAATGTTTCATGCACCTTGGTCCCATAAGAAAAGTAATATTTCTTTTATTGTCCAAATAGTGCTAGACTGAATATGACATTACAATAGCATTTTTTACTTTAGATCATGGGTCTTGCATTAGTACTACCCAGAATGACACAATAGGCAAAATCCTATTGTGTAACTATGTGCTGGCATAAATTGGATTAGACTGCAGAAATAGTTAATTAAAATTAATTTAAAGTTTCTTATCTTTCCTCACCCCCCTGTTTTGTCTTCTAAATCACCTAGAGGCTGCCAGATTGCTGCTATGAGAATTGTGACCCCCAGAGGTGACATGGCAGCAAATGTTGACTTTTAAATTTCTCCTCCACCCATCCCAAAGAGCCCAAAGGCTTCCTCGGGGCAGAAGAGAACCCTAGGGGGCATGAGAAGCTTAAATAGGGTAGGGTGGGGATAAGAAGGGTTTAATTAGTTATTAATGGTGTTCCTATCCAATTTACACCTGCACAAAATTTGCAGTAGGATTTTGCCCAATGTGATATGTAGTACAGCACTTGCTGTGCTCTATCATTATGGCACTGAAGTGAGGTTGATTCTTTATTATGCTTGTTCTTCTGATCCATTTCTGTCTGTTCGGTAGATAGAGCAGCAGCTTATCTGGCAAGAAAACTTTGATAGGCTAAGTACCTCAGATTTGGTGGATGTTCTAAACTGTACTGTTGATAATGAGGACTGTCCTGTCTTTCCACGGTATCACAGCTATGTGGCACCACATGTAATAGAACAGCCATCTCTAAAACATTATTAGATGTTCTGAGTATTTTAGCAATTATATTGGATATATCCATTCTGTGGTAAGATCAGCACTAACACAAGCAGAAAAGTAAAAAAAAAACAAGCTAGGGCCTGCTAGATTGCCGGAGTATTGTGAGTATGGCACAGAGTCTTTCGAGAATGAAGGATGCCTATGATGATGTGAGTATGGCACACTTTTAGTACATTCCTCAAGTAGGTGAATATGCTGTGTTTAAGAAGTAGTTGTTTGTAATTGAGGTGCACTGCACATAGGTTAGACTGAATTTCTTCCTTGTGTACATAACTCTCCACATTCTCAAGTATCCTCATGCTCTTCTGCTCCTTGCTGCTTTATTTGAAGAGGAACATAGCACCATACTAGAATGGATGATTAAGGTATAGCCTGCAGATTATGTACATGCACTTTGCTGTTCTTATAGTCAGGAGAAAGCCATGCAATACTTTTTTTTCTGTTTTCCACAGGTTGACACACTGACTCTAGAACAAAAGATATTTAGTGGTCCTTACCCATACCACATCTGTGTAATTCATGAGTTTAGTAATCCTCCAAATGTTCGCAACAAGGTGCGCATTCGCAGCTGGATGGACACAATAGCAAACATTAATCAGTAAGTCCCAGATTTCATCCATCTCTTTCCTTCCCCTTCCATTGTGAGTACTCTAAGGTGCCTGGGGAAGAGGGGAAATGCTACCAAAAGTGTCACAGTTTAACAGGGTTTTTTTTTTGTCTTTTTATATAAAAACTCATACACTGCCTTTTCTAGCAGGTTCTCAGCATTAGGAAATTATCTAATCTGTCACTTTGACCTGTATTTCATTCTTTTCCTTGTTGGCTTGTTCATTCATAGATTTCACAATTTGATAGCTTACTTTTTTAGTATAGTTTTTCAATCCTAATAATGTCAGATGCATTCTACAGGGTTGCTGATGGGATTTATATCTTTTGTGACTCTTAGCACAAGCTTTCTTTTTTTTTAATCCTTTTACACAGTATGGGGCCTTCCTACTGAAGCATTGGAATGAAATTAGGTCCAGGTCTAGATCTTGTCCAGATATATTCTGTTTATATTTATATTACTTTTCCCCCTATTTGTCCTCAGAGAGCTTATTAAATATGAATTCTTCCCTGAAGCCACACGAACAGAAGATGACCTGAAGAAATATCCAAAGTACCCTTGGGGAAGAGATATTTACACTTTAGAAGGTAAGCTTTATGGAGACCTATAGATTAACTATGTATGTATTTTTTCAGAAGATAAGTGTTTTCACAGCTAGATCTTGTATATTAGAGAGGGGAATAAGTTCAGGGACCAGTTGTTGTCAGGTGAGAGTGTGGGCATGTCAACCAGAGGAGACAGTTCATTCTAGATCCATGATCCCAAAAGGAATGTTGCCATAGATTGGCTACAAGACATAAGTAAATTTGCAACTAGAGTGGGCCCATGGAACCAGCAGAGAGTATGTGAGTCAGCTTCTTTGTATGTTCCATTGATTCAGTGCACCTGCTCTATTTGTGATTTACTACCAAGTTTTCTGCCATTGTTAGATACCAGTTCTCTGACATCCCTACTACGACCATGCACAGTGATTGGGGATTCTGGGAGCGGTACTCAAACAGTATCTGGGAATTTCCATGTCTAGATGTAAAGATAATCTAGCCATTTCATTAAAAATTAAATGGACATTTATGGGTGCTTTGACCGTTTGTTTACAGTGAAGATAAAGAAACTTCAGTATGTCTAAGTAGCAAATGTTGCGATCTATCTCAGGAAGTCCTATCTGGCCTGTGCAGAATGGCAGCAGGGCCAGTCTAAGCAACCTCAGTCTCCCCAGTATGTATATCATAGCCCCCACAAGATACACGCAAACCTCTAAGGGGAAAGATTATTATAGCTGAAAACACAGTTCCTCATTTTATGCCAAACTCCCTGTCTTCTAGGTGTTGTGGATGGGGCTCCCTACTCCATGATTACTGATTTCCCTTGGTTGAGGTCACTCAGGACAGCAGAGCCTAATGGCTATGCCAGATATGACTTTGAGGATGATGAAAAAAGTAAGTGAATGTAAATATATTTATTTATCTAGAACATTTGAATTGCCCTTCTTTTGGAAGACACCCAAAGTACTCTACAACCTTAAAACGCAAAGCAGCTTGTTTTTTTTAAAAAAATGGGTCTCAATATCTCAGCCAGTACTTACACACATACATCTTTCCTTCTTCATTAGGAATTGAGAGTGAGACATTTCTCTGTATTCTGACAATGCCTCATTTTTAGATCTTTAATGCTGAAGGACGAACATGTGTACAGTGGTGCCCCGCATGACGAGATAATCCGTTCCATAGAAATCGCTGTTTAGCGAAAACATTGTCTTGCAAAAACCGTTTCCCCATTGGAATGCACTGAAACCCGTTTAATGCATTCCAATGGGGAAAAATCGTCGTCGTTTGCGAGGATCGCCCATAGGGAAGCCATTTTGTGAAGCACCAATCAGCTGTTAAAATGGCTGCCCTGCGAAGCATCGGTCCTGAAAACACCCATTTTGCGAAGCGCCGATCAGTGGCAAAATCATTGTCTGGCGAAAATCAGTTTGCGAAGCAGGGACCCAAACATCGTCCAGTGAAAATCGCCCATTGGAATCAGTTTTGCAAATCGCTATAGTGATGGCAAAACCTCATTGTCACGCGAATTCGTCGTTTTGCGAGGTCATCGTCTAGTGAGGTACTACTGTAAATGCTGCTGACTGGTAAAATGAAGAATTTTATTTGGGCAAGATAGCGTGATTTGGGGTTGTATATGTGGCTTAATGCCTGCAGAGTTGTGTGCAAAACAGTACTTTTTATGGCAAAGAGCAATGAAATCAACTTCTTAGCACAGAGTTTAAACCAACAGAGAAGATAGGTATATATAACCTCAGTGCAGAGCTGCCTCAAATTTTGGGGGAGAGCATATTCAAAGCAATGTTGTCTGTTAGATTATTCTACCATTCTGCAGTAGAATAGCTGTATTTGTTCATTGCTTTGTATTGCTTATTCTTGAGTTTTGAATGATGGGTGTCCTGCAGCAGAAATAATACTGTCAATTCCAGTGAAATTTTCTTTTGCTTCAATTTTCTTTTTCTCTGTGTATGTTTTAGCTACTATTTATGCTCCCAGAAGGAAAGGGCAGCTGTCAGCAGATATCTGCATGGAAACTATAGGGGAGGAGATCTCTGAGCTCCGTCAGATGAAGAAAGGCGTGTTCCAGCGAGTGGTTGCTATCTTCATCCATTATTGTGATGTCAATGGGGAGCCAGTTGAGGATGACTACATCTGAATGGATGAGCCTGTAGACTTCTTTTCTACCTTTGGACTTGCATCATCTGCAAAAGAAACAAATGGATTCATTCTGTTGCTTTAGTGCACTGAAAGATCTTGGAACTTCTGTGGTTCACAGTTGCCCCAGCGCCTACTGGAATAGTTTGTAGTAAATGTATAATGAGAAGTTGTATTGTATGTTGAAGACTCTAAATCTTCCTAAAGTTGGCTTTATTTCATTTGTTTATATTATGAAATTTAATTTAAGTTCCATTTTAATGTAGATAATTAATTATGGCAAGGGAGAAGAAGACTGAACTTCTTAGCCCACATAATTCATGGCAGTATTTTTGCTGTTTTGACACAAGTGAAGCCCCTACATGCTGTGTTCAGGAGCCACAGGGGTCTTATAATCTGTGCCTTTGTTTTCCTCTTGAGCATCTAAGAGTACATTCTGAGTAAATCTGTTGAACAGCCTTGGAGTCTCTTGCATTTTTCAAGGAGAAGTAAGATGAAGGCACTAAGCAAGTGAAGAATGACAGAAGTGGGAAGAGCAGCCATGCAAATGAGCTATAGAAATATTTCAATTATTGGTTTAATTACAAAATGCAAGTTAAGATCACTCTCAGACGTAGTATTTGTTAAACTAAAAAAAGTGGGCACCACAGGGTTCAAGATTAATGAGAAGCAATAAATGAAATGGTTTTCTGTTGCAGTTTCTTCTTTCAGTGGCGTATTGGTTTCTAAAATATGCAGATGTATTATGAGAACCCCAGTAAATATAGGTCCATTTATTTTCCATGTGTGGCTGCTCTCCTTATGTCTGCCTGTATTCCACAATGTTTATTTTGTGTTCAAATGCTTTGTTTGCACAGAGAGCAGATTTCAAAAGTCCTTTCCTAGGAAGCTGTCAACCCGAAGTACTTGTACAATCTCCTGATGGGGACAAAAAAAGCACAAGGCATAATGGCAGTAGGGTGCAAGTTTCCAGCTAAAATCCCAGCAGTGGATTGAGTTGGGCAGCATTGGAAGCTGCCAGTTCTTACCTGAGATTCTTATTTCAGTTGAGCCTTGTAATAATGTCGTGTTGCATTTCTGCTGAATTCATATCTCTCTCTTACGTTAATGGCTGCCAGATTCTTTTTCATCCATTCCTCATGGTGTTGGCCAGGATTTTGTTGTTACAAAGCCAGTGAAAAAGAGATGGGACTAGTGTTCTGATCCTATTGTTTATGTGCTATTCCATGAATAAAAAAAGCTCAGGTTGTTGTAAACCCTGCCAGATGGAAATTTCATAATACAGTACTACAACTTTTATCTCCCTAGCCTTGAGATAGCAAAAATGCTTGCGTAATTAGGCATTTGAATAAACAAGATTTGCAGTTACATTGAGTCATATATTGACATAGGAAAGTTAGATAATCAGGATTCAAATAAAAGAGCTGGTAGTAGCTGTTGAATATGAACACGCTTCCTATTCGGCAAATGATTGGAATCCAATTGTGGTTTTTTCTATTATGTGTTTCCCTAGAGAGCTTATCTCTCTGCTTTTTGTGACAGTGAAGCAGAAGCTATATTTTATGCATTAATTAGTGCAAGAAGGTAAATGGATGTCAAATGCAACAATGAAACGCTTATGTGTTCTCCGGAAGCACAGAATTCAGCATTCTGAAAAACTCTACATCCATTTAAATATAAGTGTATAGATACATTTAGAAGGTTGTGACCTCAGTGCATCCAGATCTGTTTTTGTAAGGATCAGCAAGTAGCTGGAAATTTCTCATACAAAGCACTTTTCTTCAGGGTTTATATTTCATGTTCTCTCTCAAGGTGAAGACTTTAATTTCTAAAACACACAGGGCAGTGTTACTTTGGTTACTGGTGTACTCTCCATAACTTCTCAAATTCCAAAGTGGCATAGCCGTTAAATCAGTAAGACTGCTGGAGATTCTTGGTGTGTCAAATATTCAGAGAATATCCCAGCCACAAACCTAATTAAAAGAACATTAATATTAAAAGTTCATTGGACATGTGCTCTTAAAGCAAGCATATGTTCCATACAATCTGAGGCTATGCAATGGAACACCCTTTTTTAAAGCATTTCTATGAATGTACAGATTTGGTACAATTTTTGTCCATTGACGAAATCTTGTTTTTCAATTGTATGTTCACATTTTTCAATGTATGCATCACTGTGTATATGTGAAACAGACTGCAAGCCTTACAAATGTGTAGATTCCTTCGTTAGTGCATTTTAAAGTTTCCTGCTTACAGTGTTTTTCTCTCATGTTAGGGCAGTACCAATAGAGGCTTCTGTATTGGACTTCTAGTTGTAAGTGAACCAAGAACAGTAAGAAAAAAGTAATCCAGACTTGAAGTGAAATAAATTAAGATAGTACTTTCTCTGGTGGGGTCAGAAGTGCTGTCTAAAATAGACAGATGGCTGTAGATAGGGTCTGAAGCATGCCCTTGCTTCTATGTTCTTGTCCCCACTTTGTCATGAAATCCCAAATGTGCAGATTTCTGAAGCAAGATATATTTTGTATATATATTTATAGAACCTAATGGAACTGTGGTTAAACTGCTGTAAAGGTAAAGGTTCTCCTTGACAATTAAGTCCAGTCGTGTCCAGCTCCAGGGGCCGGTGCTTATCCCCATTTGTAAGCCGAAGAGCTGGCATTTGTCCATAGACAGTTTCTGTGGTCACATGGCCAGCATGACTAGATATGGAAAACTGTTACCTTCCCAACGAAGTGGTACCTATTCATCTACTTGCATTTGCATGCTTTCGAACTCTAGGTTGGCAGGAGCTGGGAGAAGCAATAGGAGCTCACCTTGTTGCACAGATAGTTTAACCTGCAGCAGCACCCATGTCTCTCCTATGCTGCAGCCCAAACTGTGCTGGCAACCCAGAGTTCAATTGCATGTAGCTGGCTCAGCTTCCACTCAGCCTTCTATTCTTCCAAAGTCAGTAAAATAAGTACCCAGCTCGTGGGGGGCAGGCAATGTGTAGCTTGCATAATTAACTTGTAAACTGCCCAGAGAGTGCTTTAAATGCTATGGGGCGGTATATAAGTAAAACACATTTGCTTTTTTTTTGCTTTGCCTGTGAGTTTTGGGAGGTGCAAAACAAGGAATTTTGGTAAGAAACTTGAGGCTACTTAAATCCTTTGGTCTCTTTACCAGGACTATACAAAGTATTGAAAGTGTTGGATGCTATGGGTTTTTCAGGCTCTTTGGCCCTGTTCTGAAGGTTACAACAAATGTTACGGTCAGCAAAGGTCCAAAGGGACCCCCTCACCACTGCAGGAGTATACCGGTTACCTCACAGTTGTGGACAAGTATATATTGAACCACAAAACACAGCATTCACATCAGAATCAAAGAACATGAGAGCCACTGCAGACTAAAACAACTGGAAAAGTCAGCAGTAGTTGAACATGCCATAAAACAAGCTGGACATGAAAGTCTATTTTAAAATAAAGTACAGGACAACACCAGCAATCATTATGTTAGGCTACACAGGGAAGCCATTGAAATCCACAAACACCAGCAGAGCTTCAACAAAAAAGAAGAAAGTTTAAAACTCAACAAGACCTGGTTCCCAGCACTAAAAAAAAACTGTGCAAAAGGTCAACAAAGACTACCCAGCCACAAGGACCAGTTATTACTGGACACAAAAGACCAGCTAACGACACCCATCAGTCACAGTGACAGATGATCTCTCCCCCCCCTTATCACAACAATACATCCACAACAAAAACACACTGATCACCATAATCACCCAATCTCCTGAAAAGGACAAAAGCGGTTCCCACAGCTATAAATCCTCAACTGTTCAATAAACTGCAACAGACCACAGAGTTCTGACTCCTGTCCTCTGAAGATGCCGGCCACAGAGACTGGCGAAACGTCCGGAAGAACAACCTTCAGAACACGGCCAAAGAGCCCGAAAAACCCACAACAACCATCAGATCCCAGCCATGAAAACCTTCAAGAATACATACGGTATTCAAAGTGTGTTCACAGCACTATAGATTTGCATAAATGTACTGTACTATGATATCCACACACGGTTTTATTTTTGGCCCGTTCCCTAGGGATCTCTAGCATGGGATTTGTCTTTACAAGCACAACATGGGGGGGGTTACATTGCTTACGTTGATCTACCCACTATGAGCTGAAGAGCCCCTTTCAGAACAGTTACCACCAATTCAGGTGACATTGAACATAGATGTGAAGTTATGGGTTGGTGTTTTTTTTGTTGTTTTGTTTTTTGCCTCAAATGTATGTTCCTTTACTTCAGTGATGAAAAATAAAACCCGGGGTCATTCTGTTCTCCCCTTCTCTGGACATGATGCAATGTTGTGGTGAAACCTTTGTATTACAGCAAAGATGGGCAACCTCTAGCCTTGCAGTTGTTCTTGGACTTGTCCCCTCATCCCTGGCTGTGCTGTTTAGGGGTGGTGGGAGATGCACTCCAGCAACATCTGGAGAGTCACACGTCCAATTCTACCACCACCTTGGGTCAAAATTTTAAAAAGTGTGTTCCTGTATGAAATTGTATTCAGTCAGGGTGTGATATCCACAAACTGGATTCTTTAGAAACTGTAAGCTTATCAGTTTCGGATTCTCTTTCATTTACCAATGTTTTAATGCTGTTTTTGAAAATGGTATAATTTTTCACTCTGGAACAATGGAGGTCTCTACGGAATTTAGCTTCAAAATACAGATTTCAGTGCAGTTCTTTATAGTCACCTTGAACAATTGGGCAGGGGTTTTAACTTTTCCAGTTCTCTTAGTTTAAAACTCTTGAAGTATAGAGTCCAGCCACAGCAGTGATGTTTGCAAACATATTCTTTCTAGGTTTAAAACTTTACTGTAGATCTTTTTCATGCACATACCTTTATTAGTGAAGAAATGGGTGTCAAAGAGCAAACATCAGTTGGTGCTTTAAGTGCTGAATGTTTTTCCCTGCTGTATTTTGTATATTTAATTCCTCAAAGTAGGAAACCAGCTCTGGTATCTTATTGACTAAAAATACTGTACATCCCTGCCTTGTTCAGCCACTAGATGTAGCTGCTTTACAGCGCTTAAATGAAAATAAAAGCAGGCACCTGCACAGTCTTCCTAATAGAAATACATGCACAATGAATGTATGAACAACGAAGTATCAAAATTTGTTCAGGTTTACTTTAGTTTAGACCTGCTATATAGAAAGTCATTTCAATAGGCAAGGAAATCCTTGCTACGTATTCCATTTGACTTTAGTTTTAATTCTTCATCACCTCGTTTTGAGCTCAGGGCTTAAGTCTGGAAAGGCAGCATATTCAGTTTCATGCTCTGCAGTGTAAAGATTTAGAGGTATAAAGTACCTTCAAAACTATTCAAATATTTTCTACTACACTCCTTAGCAACTCACTGGTTATTAGATTCCATTAAATTTGTTATGCAGTACCTCATCTGTATAGTGTTCGTGGCTTAAGTCAAATTGCTACTCATAACTAGTGCAGAAAGGGATTTACATTTTGTTGTTGTTGTTTAGTCGTTAAGCCATGTCTGACTCTTTGTGACCCCATGGACCAGACCATGCCAGGCCCTCCTGTCTTCCCCTGCCTCCCGGAGTTGGGTCACATTCATGTTGGTAGCCTTGATAACACTGTCCAACCATCTCATCCTCTGTCGTCCCCTTCTCCTCTTGCCTTCGCACTTTCCCAACATCAGGGTCTTTTCCAGGGAGTCTTCTCTTCTCATAAGATGGCCTCAGCTTCAGGATCTGTCTTTCCAGTGAGCACTCAGGATTGATTTCTTTTAGAATTGATAGGTTTGTTCTCCTTGCAGTCCAGGGGACTCTCAAGAGCCTCCTCCAGCACCACAATTCAAAAGCATTCAAAAGCATCAAAAGCAGTCAGCCCTCTTTATGGTCCAGCTCTCACTTCCATA